TATTTATTGCCGTTAATGAGATCTAGAGATAGACCTTGATCTGGATTTTTTTTTTGTAGATCTATATAGATCTAGATCTTGATAAATTTCATTGAAAAATAATTTCTTTGGTTGCTAAGCCTAACTTAAATCGTTTCCGGGTCAGTCATTTGAGTCATAGTTTATATACTAATACTTATATTAATTACTCTATTATACTCTATAGGCTTGAGTATACGGCAACTAGATCTAGATCTAGACTCTATATCTTATGATCTATGTTCTAGTCTAAAACTTATTCTGACTCTTACGCTCATCGTAAATGATTTTACTGATTGGACCTTCGTCATCTGGCAAAACTCTTCTTCTCAAACGTTTGCAAAACAACAGTATCTTTTTTTATATTTTATTGTAAAAAACTAGACTAATTAAAACTAGATCTACTATCTAGTCAATCTAGATCATAGTAGATCTATCTTATTTTATTCTTTATTATCTTCTCCCTTGCCCCTTGTTTTCTCATACTCAGAATAGTCAGAGATCACAATAAATAATCAATTATATTAAATTATTATATATATAATATACTAATATAGATCTATTATTCTATATATATATAAAATATAAACCAGACTGTGGCGATAGATTGGATGTTTTGTCTCAAAAGGTTTAAAGAGTCATTATAGATCTAAATCTATATTTTTTTATTTGTCAATCTAGTAACTCTAATCATTGGTTTTCCTGATTCAGGAACTCATTCCGTTCTCTAATGACTAAGGTCACTTGGGAAGAAGACCAGCCCTTGTACCAATTTGTCCTAGCAAGTGGAATAAGCTTATAAGAAATGTGCTTTAATCTTTATGTTTTTCTGAATATTTTAATATTAGAATATTCATAGAGATCTGGAGCTGTCATTCTCTTGGGGTTTGGGATGGGAGGTATTACCTTCATGTCTGAAAGAACATATAAAAGTTAAGCTGGTATACAAAGTATGATTTGAAATTAAAAACATGAATCTATTATTTGAAACAGAAACATATTATTTAATTGGTTTTACTTGTACTGTTGCAGGTAATTAACCCTTGTCTTTTTTATATTTTTATTTTAAGGTAGGTCTTATATAAATTTATTTGTATTAACCTTAACAAAATAAAAAGACTCGACCAGCTCAAAAGATGAAGTTCCATCCACCATATCAACTGTAAGTAGATCTACCTTTTTTGCAAGCAAGAAAATATTTAAAGATCTGTATATTTTTAGCACCTATGATATACATGTGTAAATCAAAATATGTAAAATAATTATAGTTTAAAATGCTAAATTCTGACTCTTTAGTTCCTAAACCAGATTGTCTCTGTTCTTTCTTTACTGCACATATATAGATTATTGTGATGTCATAAATGTATAAAATACTTGTTATGTTTATAAATTTATCAAGCTTTATATTCTGAGGAATGATTTCCCATTCTTTGATCAGATCTCCAAACACTGGCACGGTGGCTGAGTGATATATGCTTGGCTCAAATCCTGGCGAAGTTTGCTTTTTAATTTCTGGATCTTTAGGGGCCTCTGAGTCCACCCAACTTTAATGGGTACCTTACATTAGTTGGGGAAAGTAAAGGCGGTTGATCATTGTGCTGGCCACATAACACCCTCATTTACCTTAAGCCACAGAAACAGATGACCTTAACATCATCTACCCTTTAAATTGCAAGGTCTGAAAGGGTACTTTACTTTTTTACTTTTTCTTTAATCACACACAAACCGAATATTCAATTTGAACCTGTCAATTCAAATAAAAGTGATTCACATCAATCTCTGCGGATTTAAATTAGTTTTGCCTGAACCATCTTTTTTTTCCCATTCAAAGCGGATAATTATTTTTTGTTGTTTATAAAAATCCATAATGTAATTAAGGGAAAAAAATCATTTTTGATAAAACTTTCTTAAATGGATGTGATAAATTCTCAGGTTGGTACTAACATTATGACAGTGAATGTGTTAAGGAAAGCTGAGGTCACTATACGAGAGCTTGGTGGAGTGATGGGTCCAATATGGACCAATTACTATAAAGATTCTCATTCAATTATTGTAAGTTGTTGTTTTTTGATTAGATAATTTTTAGCATTCTATTTGAAACTTACTATCTTTCTCTTCACCCTGCAGAAGATTTAAATTGCAAAATATAATGATATATTTTTTTTCTAGCAATAGCATCTGTAAACTATTTTTACAAAGCTAATATCAACTCTGTCTGGCTGGTAAATGTGTGTACATGTTATATTATATTTCTCCCACACCCTTTCTGGGATCAGACTAAAACTTCGCACAATTATACATTAGCATAGACAAGACACAAAATAAAAAAAAAAGGAAACAATTAGTCAATTAATTACTGGTAACTAATTATCTTGTTTGATACCAACAAGGGACTCAAATCCTTCAGTATTCCGATCAAGTTGAAACAATTATTTATTGTACCTAAAAAAAACAACAGAATCAATTTAAAAAAAAACAAGTCAATTAATTATTGGTAATTTATTGTTTGATATCAAAGGAAATAGCTTGTACATTTTAAGGGTGGAGTTCTTCCCCTTTAGATAAGCTTTGTTTTTTAAAAAAAAAATTTTTTTTTTGCTTGTTACATATGAACTGTTGGGCTTAGATCTTTTTGTTTTAAAGTAGAATCACTAAATAAATCTTATTAGTTGCTGTAAACTACACCTGACTTGATCTTTGTCTCAATTTTCAACACTGAATTTTAGTTTTTTTACTCTCTTGCTTTATAGTTTATGATTGACATGTCAAAGCACACCCAGTTGGCTGTGGCCTGTGTGGAACTTATGACTATGTTGAATCATCCCTCAACACAAAACCTGCCCTTGTTGATTCTTCTGAATAAAATGTGAGTAGTTAACTAGGGGAGGCACAGTGGCTGAGTGGTAAAACTCTTGGCTTCTGAACTGAGGCATCCCTGGTTCAATCCTGGTGAAGAATAGGATTTGTAATTTCGTGATCTTAAGGGCATGTCTAAGTCATCTCAGCTCTAACAGGTACATGACATTAGTGGGGGGAAAAGTAAAGGTGGTTGGTCATTGTGCTGGCCCACAGAATCAGATGACTGCAAGGTCTCGAAGGGGAACTTTTCTTTCCTAATTATCTAGGAAATGGCATTTGGTCATATGGTATGCCGTATGGAATGTCGTCTTGATGGTCCCAGGTTTGAGCCCAATTCCCCCCCCCCCCCCCCCCTCCCAGTTTATGAGCAAGATTTAGGTTAGAATGTAAATATGATTTACGAAATTATTTTTTAGTTTGTTTTCTCTATTTTGAGTATATAAAGTTCTTCTTTACAGTTGAGTAAATCCTGGGATTACTGCTACAAGATCTGATAAGGTTTTTCAAGATGCATTGATACAAAATACTGTTTCTTCAAGATTTTTAAAGAGTTAATGAACATCTTATTTTTCTTAGACTGATGGTGGATCTGAAATCAAATTTCACAAAATAGTTTTAAATGTGTTTAGTTCGTTCATCTGTATCTCTCCATAGCACTTGGTTTGCAATAAATATGGTAAAATAAAATTGGGATTTCATCTTCCAAGGAAAGAGTAAAAATCTAGATCTCTTGAAGAAAAAGTTGTAATAATTTATAATGCAGATGTGTTAGGGGTTATCCATTTTGATGAATAGTATATCTGATATGTTGATTCATTAAAATATTCTTTTATATAAGTAGATCAGTAATTGTTTTTTGCTTTTTATTTCAGTGATGTTCAGTTTGGCGTAACTAGATTTGAGCTGGACAGTCTCCTGAGGCTGGATGATTTGATTAAAGTGGCCCCACAGAAAATCACAATTATAGAGGTCAGTGCAAGGACTGGCAACAATCTGGACAAAGTGGCCAGGTGGATCTATGAGCAAAGTAAAGGAAAGGAGAGTACCTCAGCTTGATGGAAACAGAGATGAAGTGTTTGTGTTCAGTGGAATGTTTATTACTTGTGCTCACTTCCCTGTACTACACTAACTAAAAGTTTGAAGAAACTTTGTCTACAAAGAGTTTCTTAGATTTGAATTGGAATGAAGACTTAACTAGCTTTAAAAGTGTTGACCCTGAAGTTTGGCTACATTGTGAGAAAGTAAGTATTGACCACAGACATTACACAGTGAGTTTAAAAAAAACATAGATTTATTAAAGAACACTTAGACCACAAAGAAGATAGTTGAATTGTACAGGAAGTACTCCTAATTCATGAACGCTTCACTCATATCTTATATGCTATCTTGATTGGAGATATACATGTTTGTTTCAATGAGATAATGTTTAGAGAGAAGGAAAAAAAATTGAAATAATTACAGACATTGCAATTTTTTATTTATTTTGACATTTCTGTAAATAGAGTATTCACTTAGTCAATTACACTATATTTGGGAAAGCTTACATGGTAAGGGCCATAATGTGTTTCTCTACAGTCGGTGGCCATCAAAAAATTTAAATAGATTGCAACAACATTATCAATATAAACATAACAACTAATTTCAAAACATATTGTTGAAAAAACAAAATAAATACTTATTTAAGTGCTTGTTATATGGTCATGCTGTTTCCTTTTTAAAAAAGATATGCCCCCCAAAAAAAAATTCCCTCCCTTGAGAAATGCAGTTCATGTTTAGTAGCTGACTGAAGTGCGCTCTGCTGAATTATTGTTGTATTGTATCTGGTTATTGTATTTCCACATCATGACCTGTTTATTATGCATACATTTTATTCTATGAAATAGATTTGTTGTTTATCTGACTTCATATTTTTTTTATATGGGTCCATTTTAAAAGAAACAACAAAATCAATGGCTTTGGGGAAACACTTTTGCTCCATTTCACTATGTCACAGACAGAACCTCTGACCCTTTTCTAGCAACCAGCAATTTCAGTTTTGCATCATGATATTCTTTTCTTTTTTTTTTTTTTTTTTTAGATCTTTCAGTTCAACATGAACAAGTTAATACATTTTATGAATCAAGTTTTTTTTTTTTTTTTTTTCTATATTTAACATTATTTTTGGATCAGAGGTCAGAAGACTGACTAATTCATCATGTGTCCATTTGGCTAAACCAATAATGATCTCACATTTTTAGAGATAATTCTTAACAGAACTTGGAAAGCAGAATTTGTTGACAGGAATTCTATAATCATACCCAGTATACTTCTATTTATTTATTTATACTTCTATTTGTTTATTTAATGTGCAATATGAACCTTGTTTATAGAAGTTTACTGGTATTGTACTTTTTTCCCTGTATTTCCTTATTTATTAAGAATGTTTGTGCACTTTGATTATTCTAGCTGTTTTAACACTATAAGAAGAGAAAGTCTTTGTCAATAAATAAGACTAGAACAAAACTTATTGAACTTTTTGTTTTGTCAATGCTTATGCTTATTCATTATATTTAATGCTTAGAAAACACAAGGAATGATATAATAAAGAGGTGGCTTGACTTTATTATATTTTTCTAAGGAATTGTAGCCAAAGTATTTGGAAGGTCAAGTTTCATTAAGTTAAAACATCTAACCCCAAGGATGTCACCTTCATCTGGCATAGAGGGAAAGAAACGGCAGACAGAGAAGCAAGAGAGCCCTAAATGAAGCGGTTTCAGGAATCTAAATTTCCTGACCTGAGACAGAGTATTGTCTCTGCCACTTACCGAGAGTGGCAGGATAGGTGGGGACTGAGACCCACAACAAACTTAGACGGGTTGAGGCGGATGTCAGGTGGCGGTCCACATCCAAGGGTCTGATACCATGTCCCAGAAATAAGATTGGCCACACCTACTTCACGCGTGCTAAAGAGAGAAGAGCCCCCCACTGTGTATGTACTGTGAGTCTTGTCTCACATATCCTCCTTGATTGCCCCAGATACCAGGGTATTAGAGGGAAATATTTTAGAAGAGATAATCTCAAAACACCGTTTGATCATGTGGGGAAATATTGGGCTTTATCCGGGAGGTGGGGTTGACTACTAAAATTTACAAGAGAATTTCATTCAATTTTTTACTATTTGAGTTGTGAATGAACCTTATTTTTAATAACTTAGTTGTATAACGTTTGGCACTTGAGCTATTAAGGGGAACGTTAGGCACTTGAGCTATTAAGGGGAAGTAACCCTTGAGGAATTATAGACACGACATGGCCTAATTTTTTCGATGTGCCAAAAACCTCAAAATATCATTTAAGTTCAAGTTTGAGTTTAGGCACATCGGCACAATTTAGGCTTGGTAGCTTGTGGTTATTGATGATCACTCCTGCTCACTCTTCATTGCTTGTGATAGTGATAAGAAAATGAGTAAGGCCTGAATTAATAGAAGCCATGGGCATTATTTGTGTGGTGTGTACATAATAGGCATTCTACTTTGGGAGACCAAATAATACAGGACTACATGTTATCCGTTTCTGTGATGGGCCACCAGATGTATATTTATACTTTACCCATTTAAGTATATATGCTAGGCCAAATGTGTACAAATGCTCCTTCTTCCCTAGCGCTATTAGAGCATGGAATGGGTTGCCTGAGCTAGCCAGGAAAATCAATGACTTGGCAGAATTCAGGTCATTTTACGATTGGTTAATATGCATGACTAGATGCATGACGCGTTGGACGTAATCATCTTTTTTTTAAGTAACGTCTGTATCATAAAAGATAAGTTACAGCTAGGGTAAACCTAACTCATGTTTCACCTGTCAGACACGTACAGCATTAGGCCTATTTCCTAACCACAGTTATTTTGGGGCAATTACACAATACGCTAAAACTTCCCCTTTGAAACTCTACTGAAATTCTTTTGGAAAGGAAGCCAACCTAGAAATGAACAGATGTAGTTAGTGCCTAAGATCTGATCCAAGCTCAACAATTAGTAAATAGATTTAAAACAAGCGACAGTTAACATTGTGAATGCGGTGTGGAATGCGGGGTGAATATATTTTTAAAAAAAAGGTCATTGCGAAGAGTGTAATATAGAGACAAAAATATATTACGATCTAATTAATATATCGAGAAATTGATCAATGCCTAAGAATTTATGTGGCATTTTACGTTAATTAGATAACTTCTCCCCTTTCCCATTCGCTTGTAAATAAAGAGACCAATCCTTGATGTACATGCACGGTCACAGGTTAGGCGTGTGACATTACCAGACGCTGTAGCGTTTTCAACATTTTTTTCCAATTTCTGGTGTGTTCGCTATCGACAATCTGCCTGCATGTGTTCGTTGTTAGTTCCCATTCAAATTATCAGATGTTGATCTATTTCAGTGTTTCCCAAACTATTTCCTTAACGGAAGACACTGCACATTCTGATTATTTAGCCAAACACAATGTTAATTTTTTTTTTAGAGAGGTTAATTAATTCACGTTATTCCATTAGTTCGTGGAACACCTATTCAGATTAATTCACATGGTGGCCTACTAGTTAATAATTCCAGTTGCTCGTGGAATACCTTTTCAGGTCTCGCGGAACACAGGTTGGGAAACACTTATCTATTTAAACGTCAGACTGTCCCCTCCAGCTTTGAGAGGCTACCTAGACCAGCGATGCCCAAAATACAGCTCTCGGGCCACAAGCGGCCCGCGATGTGGTTCTATCCGGCCCGTTGAAACGCCAGAACAAAGTGTAAAAAATCCCCCTCCCTTTTTTTTTCCGTAAAAAAAAAAAAAAAAAAAAAAAAATGAAAAATGCATCTTTACCTACTTTAGGGCCCTCACTTTAACACTTGTGCGTTTCTGAAATGGGACTCGTGAATGTAGAATCTACTAGGAAAAGTGAACGGATCTTTACTTTTTTTGTGCAACATAATAATAAAAAAAAAATAATAATTTCCCATGAATGAATGTAAGTACTAGATCCACGGGTTTCTAATCAAATAGTTTCAGGTCAATTTCATTTCGTTTTTGTATTATACCTTTCCGTTTATGTGGCCCGCGACACCAGTGGCGGAAATTAAAACAGCCCGCAGGTCGATTTATGTTGGGCATCACTGGTCTATATGATCCGTTCTAGACATAAAGTTGTATTTCAAAGTTTAGGAGCTTGCACTGCACACACTCACACACGCATTAGATCTAATTAAGGGCACCAAACATTTGATAACTGAAGCCTTTATGTCTGAGCCGATTCGCGTGACACTCAATAGGCCTGGGCTTGTTTCCAGTTGATTGGAAAATCTATTCTTTTACGTACTTCCTAAATATCGATCTCGTAATATTTTATGGGTTCGTTGGGGTGTGACCATAACTGCTCTGTTGCAAATCATAGACACAGGCGCGCGCGCACACACAAAGTAACAATGTGTTCAGATTTAGCAGCAGTGTTTTATTTAGGTTTAGAAACAACAGCACAACATATACTTTAATTTCAGCAATTTGTAATTTACATGGTATTCTGTTGGAAAAACACATGGTGTAGTTTGTTTTTGAATTATTGTAACAGGGGTAAACAGTCAGCCTTAAAGGTAAGTTTTTCAATCACTTGAACAAACCTTATAGATCTGCATATTTGTGTGCTAATACTTTATTTAAAAAAAAATAGCGGCAACTGTTTTAATTCATGTATATATAGGCCTATCTACTAACAATTTGAATGTATCGTTATTTTCGATAGCTAAGAATGTAGCCTAATTAAAGCCTTTAATTAAGCAATGCTCTCTCCCCCTTTCTCTCTCCTCATATATTAATGTGGTGGGTTGGTCACAGAACACAAACTAAATGACATGACAAAGGTAACTCGTAGGACGAATCCAAACTGTTTATTATATACTAAAGACCTGCCAAAGGCAAACATAAAACATAATTACAAATGAACATAAACTAAACATAATTAATAGGTCTAACTACTAGATCTAATGAAAAACAAAAAAAGAAAATCTTATAGTGTGAACCAATCATCTTTTTGACAAACACATGAGAGATATGGACACACCAAAAACATTATAAAAATAAATGACAACGTAGTTCTCTAAAAATAAATCAACTAGTTGTTCTACATAAAACCAGCATACATTGTTTGAAGAGTTTCGCTCTTTCCTTTCCTTACAAAAACTATAATTAAATTTAACAAATCTATACACTCACAAATATACTGTTTCTTAAAAGCCAGTATCTAAACACTTGTTGTAAAAATACATTTACAAGATGGACAGTTAACATCCTATATAGAATACTACAGGTACGCATTTCAATAATTGAATTCATCTACATGCTGGCCTCTAAAAATAAGAATAGTCCAACATGAACAAAAACCGCGGTAGTGATATTCTATATAAACTACTAATTAAATTTACAATCTAATATGAATAAGTAAAATGTGATTACCTGCAGCCATCCATAAACACATGGTGTAGAACCAGGCACAAACAGGGAATGGAGACGACGTAGGTCCAGTAACGTACGGACACTACAGCGACAAGAGATGCCGGTCGAATGGACAGTGCCCACGTTGGTGTGCCATGTTATGCGCGGACACAAGGTGCCATCTAGGGGGAAGGGTCACGTGGATATCGGGGTGGCCGGTGTTTTCTGAAAAGGTATCCACTCCACTACAGAGCCCCTAGCTTGAAACGACCCGTCCCGGGGCGTTCAGCCTAGTAGGTTTCTGAAAACTGAAACAACTGTTTCTTGTCAGTGTCTTCTGGAACGACAAACATCTTTCCAGTTTGTAACGCGCTGAGTCCATCGGTCATACAGAGTGGTCTGTCTGGTGCTACCATGATACTAACGTCTTTCTCGACCCATGATGTCTGGGAAGCTGTAGAAAGTGTGGTAGGGAGTAGTAAGCGAAATCGTCTTTGTGGCTGGTTCAACTGCTTGTAGTTTCTTTTTTGTCTATGTGTCTTCCGGAGTCTGTCATGTCTGGTCTGGTTAGGCTGACCAGCCTTAAAGCTTCTATTCCTCGATGCTGGGTATGTTTGAATTGAGTGACTTGCATCTGTTGTGGAAATTGAATCAACTTGTTGCTCACTGGTTCGTTGTTCTACTTGGTGGGTCGTCTGTGAAACAATGGGTTCACTATTGCACACATATTGAACATCAGCAGTGAGTTGTGGCGATTGCTGACAGTGACGCCTTACATGTCCAGCTTCCCAGCACTGGGTGCAGACTGGCGATCCATCATCGGTGTATGGGAAAAATCCTCTCTTCGTCCTTGACCACACAAGACCCGGCGGTGCTGTTGGTCGAATTCTGTTTTGGTTGTTATGTTTCGTGTGTCTTTGTGTTGGTCTGCATTGACTATGTGGTTGACTAGAAAGTGGGTTAGTTGAGCTTGGCAGACTGTTATAACCAGACCTATGGTGTTGTTGACTAGAGAGTGAGTTAGCGTTAGTTGAACTTAGCAGAATGTTATAGCCTGACTCCTTTA